CGGCACTATTACTCCGCAGACAATACTACCAGAGAATGGTTTCCTTAGGAGGAGTCATTATAGAATTAATAGAATCTTTCCCTATCTGAGGTGAAACGGAGAAATATTGAACTCGAGGGGTGATTTATTTGATGTCTATCCTTTAGGCTTTGCTGAGGTTAAGACAACTTAATATTCAGCCCAAGAGTTGGATATTTCTCTGATACACTATAGAGATAAGTGAGGATGATATATCTCCGATACACTATAGAGATAAGAGATGATGATATTTCTCTGATACCCTATAGAGATAAGTGATGATGAAATTTCTCTGATACACTATAGAGATGAGTGATGATGATATTTCTCTGCTACACTCTAGAGATAACTGAGGATGATATATCTCCGATGCACTATAGAGATAAGTGATTATGATATTTCTCCGATACACTATAGAGATAAGTGAGGTTGATATATCTCCGATACACTATAGAGAAAAGTGATGATGATATTTCTCTGCTACACTCTAGAGATAACTGAGGATGATATATCTCCGATATACTATAGAGATAAGTGATGGTGATATTTCTCTGATACACTATAGAAATAAGTGATGATGATATTTCTATGATACACTATAGAGATAATTGAGGATGATATATCTCCGATGCACTATAGAGATAAGTGATGACGATATTTCTCTGATACACTATAGAGATAAGTGATGATGATATTTCTTCCATCATTCCAATACGATGTTAATAACATTAACATTTAGCTTTTGTACACCTCTTGATATGACCTCTCCCGTCGAGAGCTGATTGTGACAAATAGCTTTCGTGGCGTCATATTATTGCTTCTTTCACACCCTACATGTCCCTGTAGGTAGGGCGTAAGAATTTTACCTGCTGCCCCATTGCATGATCGTAAGAGGCGACTAAATTTGGGATCTTATATTTTCTCTTCTTTCTAAACAACTTTCTTCTTTCTAATGTCTCCATTGACAATTACTCATATTCGGTCTTTAGTTGAGCGTTCGCCCTTGTGAGGAAGGCTTTGGGTTCTGTCCCATTACCGAGATATACAGAGTCTTTAAAAATGGTAGTTTCTACTCCTGCTTAACGCTCAGAAATTTAAGAGTGGGACGACTGGTTCACCCGTTGTCAGTATAATATGACCAGGTGGTGATGTCCTGCTGGGTGTCTTCGGCAGTATGTTTCAGTGAGGTAGCACTAAAAACTCGGTATCAGTTCCGCGCTATCACAAGGATACAAACACGAACATATCGCAGCCTCCCAAAACACACGCATGCACTACACGCATGCATCTTGCACACAGGGGAGGCCGTCCTTAAATGACCATAGCTGTTGGTAGGACGTTAAACAATACTAAACCAAACTAAACCAAACCACATCCTACATGGTATACCTTATGACTGACAGACAAATAATGCCAAAGGGGTCACAGAAAAATCATGAACAGGTAAAAAGGAGGATAATTCTGTGAAAGGAGGTAGAATTATTGTCTCCCCAAGTCATAACAATCGACGTCACCTCAACAATGCATTGAGCCCATAACGTCAACACTCCTTAGCATAACTCCATTATATAAACGAATATGACAGAATCAACAGGTTAAGAGATAAAGAATCATTCACATCTTGAGGTGATATGGATGCACATGCCTTCAAATACATGAAGGTCCCCAGTCAATACGACTGTAGGCCATCAGGTAATACAAGTATAGGTACCCAATCAGTAAAACTGTAGGTCCCCTGTCAATTAAAAGTGTAGGTTCTCAGTTAATAAAAGTACATGTAGGTACCCAGTTAATACAAGTGCATGTAGGTACCCAGTTATTACAAGTACATGCAGGTACCCAGTTAATACAAGTTAATGAAGGTACCAAGTTAGTACAAGTACATGTAGGTACGTACCCAGTTAATACAAGTTAATGAAGGTATCAAGTTAGTACAAGTACATGTAGGTACCCAGTTAATACAAGTGCATGTAGGTACCCAGATAATATAAGTACATGTAGGTACTCAGTTAATACAAGTGCGGGTCCCCTGTAAATACAAGTAAAGATCTCCAGTTAATGCAAATGTACAAGTAGGTACTCAGTCACTGTAAGAGTAGGTTCACAGGCAATACAAGTATTGGTCTCCTGTCAGTACTAGTTTAAAGTGTTGGTCCTAAGTAATAGAGGAGAGGGCCTACATTATTTTGATTGCTAATTAATCCACAGTTAAAGAGGAACAGTTGACTGATTTGTTGTAAATATGCAGCTATTCGAACCCCGGTCATGTAGATGAAAGTCACTATGTAACCCGATCATCAAAATTAAAGAAGATCATGACAGTCTTCAAAATGTTTTGAACGATATCAAGGATGATATACATAGCTTAACTCGTAATAACGAGATAACTGTTTTAAGTCGTAATAACGACATAGCGTAACTTGTAATAACGACATAGCGTAACTTTATAACGAGATAGCATACCCAGTAATAACGGAATAACTTGTTGTTGGTGTGTTACTAATTAGCGTTCGTACTACTGTCTGTTGAGGTCTATGTATACACGTGGTAGGGTCGTTATCGGGGATATTATATGTAGTGTGTAACAAAGGACCGGGGAGAACAAACGACTCTCCAATAACATTGATGATATATCCAACAAACTCCCATAGAAATTGTATTCTTCTTGTCAGGTATGTTACCATTTTTGGAAGAATGTTACTGAAGTTTAGTTTTATAATGAAGCAATCACAGACATGTTATCGACATTGCTGAAAACATGTTATAACTAAACTACATGTAAAAGTATAAAGTTCGCTCAACGTGGAAGATGGTAAGTCAAAAATTCATTATTTTCCAATTATAGTGCATCAATTTATACATGTACTATGGTGAATTGATTTCATTATCTAACGGATGTCACGTACCTGATGGTAACAACTAATCTAACGTTCTCATTGGTTTCGTGGGGGTCCTTCTTTTAGTCAAAATAAGATAGGTCACAAAATTAATCATCAATAGGTGAGTGAATACCCTAGTCAATTCAACCAATAACGGATAACACCTTTGTTTATAGTGTAGTACCTACATCATGTGATACAGTATCTATTGATACGACAGAGGGACGGCATACCTGAATATCGGGTTTCCTTATGATAAAATAGCTGGTATATATTAATACATGAAATGCTCATTTTGTCAGATATTATTTTATAATAAATAATGGTATTTGCGTTATACAGTTTACTCTGCTAGTAATGAAAGTGTTTGAAAGGATATACCACGATATAAACTTTTTCCTAACTAATACAACATAACTACTATAGATTAAGAAGATAAGCACATCTATGCGGTTTAACTACATACATGAAGATTATAAAAAGGTAATATGACATACGCCATTTTAAAATAAGTAATAATGATTAAAAGCCCTAGTAATGTAAATTCTAACAGATATTCCGTAATGAGGTTATTTATTGACTATGCGTTGGACACTATTTGATTCCCTTTATACGTTTAGACCTTTAACGTATTAGTCGTACTATGCTTTATCAGGGTTGTTATATAGGACATAACTGACACAGGAAAAAAAGGTCACGTGATTGTATTTACCTTAGCACTAATATCAGGGCCCAGTTGTTCAAAAGGTGATTAGCTTAATCAGTGATTAGCACAAATTTTAATATTTGTGTATCTTTCACACAAACCCATTTAATTAGTTACAACTTTCCAGATAGCAAATATTTAGTAGGCTGAATTTACATGCAAAATTGTGAGATTTTACCTTGTATATTGACGAAATTATTAAAGGTTGAAAAATGTCGTTAAACAGTGATTAAGCTTATCACCTATTGAACGACTCGGCCCTGATGACGGAACAAAGTACTCCGGCGGAGTCCAGGTTTTCTGTACTACATCAGACACACGTTATCATGCTTGTTGTCGTCCCAATCATACTATGTAGGTTAACAACTATCATAAACAAAAGGAACACATAAAAGTGACGCGGACCTATCATTGCTGTAATTTAATAGAAAGACGTCTGCCTTACTACCTCAGCATACAGCAAATATTTTCAGGTACATTGTAGAACACCTTAGTTAAGTAATTAAATTACCAACATGACGTATGTATCCTAAATCTATACATAACTGTTCTTTTTTCTATGGGAATAACAGCTTTTCTTCCCAATTGAGTGAATGCTTAAATATTTTTTCACGAGTAATCCCAGCCAATATGAATGTCTTCAGATTGTTTACCATAAATGTACGTGGACGATTAGATATACATATGGCTGCTTGTTCCCTCACTCGACAAAGCTAATCTGTCAAACACATCGGTCACTTGTTTAAATCTGCAACACGAGGGAGGCTTTTGGGTAGAGCAATGCACTAATACATTATACATGTTATAATAGTTATGATACCCAGCACCGTGTCCACGTTATGTGTGATATATTTTGTCAAAATATATATTGACCCCTTTTTACGCATAGGATGGGGCAAGAGTGTGCTTTAGTCACGTTTGATGACAAATATTGCACAACGAATCATAGACTCGTGTTGATCGTTGATAGGTGATTCGTCTGTTATGGAAACACAACTGGACCCTCGGTGTATAGTGTTTATCTACTGAAACTAACCACGTTAAAGCTTAGTAATCTTCCTATTCTCGAAAGTGTAACGGGTTATTACACCACATTGTCAAAACCATTCTTGTCTTAACAAGTATGAAACTGTTCCTCCATTTTTTAACTCAACTTACCAAATCAGTTCCTGTTATAGATCTCATTACTTTTTTGTCCACAGTTTGGGTAAAACAATTTGTTGAAATAGTTATCGGCCCATTAGTATGCACATGTTTGGATAAGAGTGTGATTTGGTCACATTGGATGATAAATATTGCAAAATGAAACACAGGCTCGTGTTTGTCGTTTATAAGACAGTTGATGTGTGATGTACATGTATCTGTTACTAAAACACATTTGTTTATTGTGTTTATCCGGTGTGTCGATGCTGATTACGATAAAGCTTGAACCTCCTCCCTTTTCCCGGAAGTTTGACCGGTAATTCTTATCTTAACCATTTCTTCCTAAGCAATTATAAAAAAAAATGAGTTTTTTGTTTGTTTTTGTTTTAATTATACTTATCATATTCATAACTGTTATTGATGTTATAACCATCATTAATTGTGTCAAGAATGCACCTTTAGAAACACATAGCGTAACTGTACTAGACTGTTTGTTCCAATGTTTTCCAACTTAACAATAGAATTTACTTGTGTCACGAACATTCTTTTGCATGATCAGGTCACAAAAGAGCAGACAATCTCAGGGTCAGGATGATAACAAATTCCGGAATAATTCACTAAAACCTTGTTTATGTGATAAGTTGAGTCTTATTTTATTTTCTAATAGACATGAAATTTAATAAATGCATCACGATTATTAATTTTACTTTACTAATAGCATGTTAAAGTTAAAAAGACAACTTTAATCGATATCTTGTGCAAAGGTACCTCATGTTAGATTCCCTATCAACTTACCAGACAAACATGTATTTGTTTAAAGTTACGAAATGTTCAGTTCTTAATGTAAATTTGATATTTCACGTTCAATGTTATTTATACTTATGTACTAGGTAGCAGTATTAAGTTTGTTCTATTTTTAACCCTCGGTTTTTTAATTTGATGCAGACGCTGATGTTGACATGGAAAAATTGAAGTCGGATATTGCTGTTTGAAACTTAAATACTTGCATTTTACTACTATACAGAGGGCAGAGAAAACGTACATGATCCATGATATCTTCCTACTTTCGCCTTGACTATTACTTGTGTTCTGGTGAACGACCTAAAACAGACGTATGATACTTACCAAACCCGGTTATATTGTGTATAAATGAGCACAGACAATCATTAATAACGTGATTCACTTACCATTATTAGAAACACTATCCCTCGTGTCATTTTGTTGGTGCTGGTTAACATTTTGTCGATCACATAAGCTGGCGCCGAAGGATCAGTAAAAGGTGAGACGTGGATATACCAAATATGGAATGTGAAAAACATCCGGGTACCCCGATAGTTTCGGTGTGTATAACGTGTGATACCACCTTTGTCTGTTTGGACTGTATGACCGACGAAATACACCAAGGTCACGTTTCTGTAAACTTAACAAAATTGCAAAGGACATCAAAACAAAAATGAAGCTAAAGGAAACAGAAGATTGTAAGCTGGAGGCGAACATAGAATCCAATTTGAATGAGATAAGGGCACTAAAAACACAACAGGACAATGCACAAAAAGAAAGAGTCAAGTCAATAAACACTCGAAGGGAAGATCTAATCAAGGTCGTAGACGAAATGGCGGATAGCTTTATATCAGACTTCGAGAATCAGAGTAATTGTATTAAACTGCAAGACGAGATCGAGTTCATTTCAACAAAATTAGAAAATGTGAGAAGAAGAAGAAAGGAGGTACAACGCATCCTTAAGGTAAAAGATGATCTAGCAGTGGTGCACGATTCAGGAAATCTTCAAGATGTTGTCGTACACAGAAAACCATATCAACAACCTGTCGATATCGAGTTTACTCACGGGGAAATGAATACTCATCAGCTGCAACTCATGTTCGGGGGCACAGCTGTCACGATGAAGGAACTAGCAACAGCACAGGAAGCCCAAGGTGATAATATGACACTTTCTACGAATAAGTGTTCAGATTCCGTTGGTACCTTGATACGTCAGGGAGGGCAACTTGTCTTGGAGTCTACCCTCAATGTTCTCATGCTAGTGCAGAATCTGAAAAAGGGCCACTAGATAAGGTTAAAATCAGAGGCACCGCAAGAGGCTCTTTTTGTTAAATCACCTCAAATGTTTTGATGACCGCGTCTATCGCCGCATTGGAATTGTGAACCGTCTTGCCGATGTTGAGGCGACACAGACGAATAAGGTTTAAGCAAATGTAGCGAAAGGGTTTTATTTCCTTTTCTCACATAAAATTTCATTGCTTTATTAACCAAAGAGTGAATGGCTTGCGTGAGCAAAGCTTCAAACATTCTGAATCAAATTATGTGAGTGCAATATGTAATAATAATAAATCATAATTTGAGTTTCTTATATTCCGCTTTATCACGGCACTCATAGCTAGCATTCAACAATTCTAGCACTGCCTAACCACGTTCTCATTTACAGCTGAGTAGACCGGAACAAGCAGAGTAAAGTATCTTGCTCAAAGACACAACACATTGCCGGGACGTCACTCGAACTCGCAACCCTTCGGTCACGAGCTCGGCGTCCTCCCACTAGACTACCGTGCATCCACTAATGTCCAATATGTAACGGCTTTTACGGAAAGTCATGGGTAATATGTTTGCGTGAGAGGGAACTAACACATAGAGACAAGCACGGTAATGTAGAGAACATCGTGGCATTTGACTCCAGTGTGACTTATATGACAACCTTTAATGACAATATACCGTTAGTATGTGGAGTGGCTGATAGAGATATTATACTGGTCTCACTATCTAGTATCTACTTTCACTATGCACTTGTTTAATTTTCAAACGAATTATAATTATGTGGAAGGTTTTGAAACAAAATTTGGCTAAATAACAATTATTTATCTAAAACACATAAAAGGAAGAAAAAAACAGTCTAATCACGTGATGAAAGCACATCTGTGTATATTTTACAACAATTGAATGCGTATATATTTCTTTAATTATAATTGAAACAATTTTTAATGCAAAATGCTGGGAATGATTTGCACAATTTAAAAAATATTTATAAAAAAAAAGGATACGTAATATATATTATAATACCGTAGTATAATTACGTAGTAATCGTAGTATATCACGTAGTAATATTATATTATAGTATATATATATATGCACTGTATTTTTCACTTGTGGTAATTGTAATATTATTAAATTATAAGGCAGATTAAATGATGTTCATCGGATATTCCGTTCTCAATTCATAATGTAACAAATAAACTCAGTACATAATTCACACCGTTGCTAACTGACTTAATATGATTTACACTATTTTTACGGTTTGATTTTTAATAAAGTATCTGTTTTACATAGACCTGAATTTCCTGTTTTTTATGATGTTACATAGTCCGCGACTTTGCTTTTAATACATTTATTGGTTACATTGTGTGAGGGCATTCAGGGTGTTATCTTATCTATCAAATGACCTGATTTACATCCGATTTATCATTTAAATACTTAAAATATCCCCATATTACAGCTATAATAACAGTTTACAACATATGACGTATACTCAATAATAAGTAGCCTTTCTATAATAAACAAAATAAGGTTATCAGTACCTTGTGTATTTTGAATGGAGAGAGACCGACGGGAATACTTTTGTTTGTTTGTTTGTTTGATTTTGTTTAACGTCCTATTAACAGCTAAGGTCATTTAAGGACGGCCTCTCCTGTGTGCAAGATGCATGCGTGTAGTGTATGTGTGTGTATTTTGGGAGGCTGCGATATGTTCGTGTTTGTCTTCATTGTGATAGCGCGGAACTGATGCCGACTTGATAGTGTTTCCTCACTGAAACATACTGCCGAAGACACCCAGCAGGACGCCCCACCCGGTAACATTATACTGACAACGGGTGAACCAGTCGTCCCACTTCTTATTTTGCTGAGCTTTAAGCCGACGAGAATACCAAGTTACACGTATTTGATAGTTGGCAATAATACTAAAATATTCTTTGTTTTTTTATATCTAAATTAATTGTACAGCTGCTGTGAACGGCTATACAAAAGGGCCGGTTTCCAAAACGGCCCCATCTCTGATTCAAATTTCCTGTTGGTGGTGCATTGCCCATGCCGTTCTGGTCACACATCTATAAAGTATAAAGCTTTAGGTCACTTGGTTTGTTTTTTATGGCTCCTCAAAGTTGTACCTTTCAGAAGCTGTCTAAGTGTTGATAAAATGTGCATGTTATGTAAAATATTAATGAAAATCTAATCAAATGATGGTCACCGTAAAGAATACATTCATGGCATGATTGTGACAAAAAATCATGTTTCCATCGCGCCATTTGGCTGTTTTATGGAAGAAACAATCTCAAAAATGCCATTTTCGATGATAACATTTTAGACACAAAAACTGTGTTTTTTAGAGAATACACCCTTTTATGGGCGTTGGATGCAAACCAATTTTTATCCTATTAAACAGTACGTAATATGCTATTGATGAGAGGAAAAATCATCAAAATGTAAGTGGTGGAACATTTTCAAATGTTGGGTTGAATTAGCCTATGGTTGAATTGCCGATTTTCGACTTTCTTTAGATAATTAACAAAAAAACGAGAGTATTTGCTCGGTATGTTGAGAATATGTACACAGATATGAAAAAAAGTGAGAGAAACACTTTTTCATAAAAAAAATCCAAGATGGCTACTTCACAAGTCCCCGTGGTTGAAGACATTGGCTGACAAATAGACAGAACAACAAACAAAACGTGTTCCTTATGATTTTGGTTGGTTTTCGCATTTACGGGAGTGTTCATAGCTACGGGCGATTGTATAATACCTATATTTATAAGTTTGGTTAGTCACATGGTAACGGGGATCTTTCATATCGAGCCCCAAACATACTTTCGACATATGCACTCCGTTGCCGCATGGAAAACTATTTCAAGTTTTGTCGGAATTTCTTTACCTGTGGTTGTAATGGTCGAGGGTTTTCCAGCGTCCTGTAATACCCAAGGTAGTACAAGATACTGGAGATGTGCGCACACATTCCCATCGTTCTCTCTCCAACTGGGCACTGGCAGTAGTAGTCCTTTATTGGGGCCTCAACATCGGGTGAAACGGTGAACCGTATCCAAACGTTATATTTCGTTTGGCTTTTGTGTCGAGAATGTATTTGACATCGGAGAAGGTCTGGGGAGTGCTGGTAAAGCCACACCTCATAGTCTCCGTCATCACTTAAATGTTCGGCGATGTAACCAGGAGCCAGAGATATCTGATACGTTCCACACGTAATGGTTCTCAAGTAATCAAGATCGAGACGGGGAAACAGTACGGAAGATGCATCCATCTTGACAAACTCGGACCTTGCCCGTCTAGATAGATCCGGATCTGTCTTGACTCTCTGAGCTAAACCATTCGGTGTTGTCAAACGGTCCTTCATACGTTCAGCCATTAGCCTATCTTTGGCATCTCTCTCTGGAGATCTCTGGTAGATCGGTCCTCTAATACCATTCAGACAGGCTGTGACGGTTCGAAGCAAAGCCTCGATGACATTGATAAAGCTGTTAGACACCAATTGCGTTCGGAAGAACGTCCAGTGTTTCAGACGACCATGATAGGATTCCACAATCCACCTCGATTTGGTGATAGTTCTGTCAAGATTTGCTTGGACGTCAGAATGTTGACTTTGACCGGGTTTCAGGTATGACGGCATGCTAGCATTGAGGCCAGAGGCTTCGAGAACTGGTAGGACATCTCTAAAACCTCGGTCAACGACAACGTTGTCGTCTGGTTGTAGCCAAGTAACTAGCTTGTCCATGACTTTTTTTGTAATTGTAGCATCATTTTCGCTGCCAGTGAATGGTCCTACTGTGTCCAGAATGTAGCCATCTGGTAAGGCGATGCTCATGAATTTGAGATAGTTTCTCTTCTTCTGGCCACAGTAGGACATTCTCTGGAGCTTGTGGTCGGAGCTTTTCTGGATATAAATATAGGTGCCATCTAATATGGCAGTGGCTTTATCTCCAAAAAATGCTTCTGAAAAGACAGTATTGTGCCCGAGCAACTGTTCTCTTGTCAAGTGATCCGGACCTAGAAATTGTGGGACTATCGATGTGTCTAATGCCTGTACTATGGAGTGGAAAGTTTTGGACACACTTGACTTGGAAATTCCAAAAAGAGAAGAACACTGACTCCAGGAAATGTCGGTTTTCAGTTTTACCCAGAACAGTAATAGAGCATCGTGTGTAGTCTTGGTATATATACCAGATGAAAGATATGGGGAACAGTGCGAGTGGATTTCGAGGAACTGATCTTTGGACCAACCTGTCCAGGCCATGCATGCCGAGTCATCAAGAGAAGAAAAGCTTATTGTAAACGCAGACTGGTTCTGTGAAAGGACGTGCGACACCTCTAGGAGGTCATTAATGATTTCGGACGATTTTGATGGTAACTGAGATTCCAAGGAACCTCTACCATCAAGGACAACCTCTGTAGACGGATCTAAGTCGTTACCAATAAGGTGAATGGAGCAGACGCGGGATGAGGTGGGACACCACAGTTTGTGTGAATAGATCAGGTGATGTCTTGCACGTTTTGGTAAGACTGATGATTTTGTTCCATTTCTTGCAAAGGTAACAAGACAGAGACAGCATTTTTTGTGTGAAGATGATCCATTCAAAAGATCATGAAGGGTCAGCAACGGCAGGATATGGGACGGGGAGTCGTCTTCTTCCTCTATTTCCTGGTTCTGCTCGGGTTCAGGTTCAGGCTGATTTTTGTTCCGAAGATACTTCATGTAGCACTTCTGGCAAATAAGTGCTTGTTCCTTTGCTGACATCAATCCTTGTTGCACCAGCGTATCTAGGAGCCATTTATATTGTGGACTATTTACATTGCGTGCACTTCTGTTCTTATTGCCACTACGTTTCTTGAAGTATACTTGACACCCTTCTCCAACACATTTACCCTCCATCTTGAAACAATAACGATTGGTTTATGAAGCGTCGATAAAGTAACAAAATAGCAAGCCACCGATGATTGCTGTAAACAGCTAATACTTAGTAGTTTGGTACAATTATGCGAAAATGTGTGATAAATAACGAACAACTAATTACACAAAATAACAAGACAATATAATAAATCACATTCAATACCTCCAAGAAGCGCAGAATTGATTGATTACTTAGAACAAAATAAAGTATTTCATATGGATAATCTATCTATTCGATGTGGCGTGGTCGGCAGGCACAAAGAAAGTGAGACAAGTCAGGGTCCCAACCCTGACAGAGCCACAACGCTTTGGAGATGGGACAATAAAACAAGGAAAGTGAGACAAGAATAGCTAGCGTCGAGTCAATGATTCCGTAAACGTATAGACAAAGACAAGAAGATACGGATAAATGTACAAGGCCACACGATCAGAAAATTCAGAAGAGGACAACTTGAGATAGAACAGTATTCATGTATCAGGGTGTCCTCAGTGTAAATCTTTATATCGATACTGTTTATTTAGTCGTTACACATCATAAAACTGTCATGAAAATATCCGCTCTGATATTCAATATAAAAGTTTGTATATAATAAGCTATATAATAGGGTTTCAGACAAGGTTGTTACTCATTTCCCCTTTTCTTTCAATTTACAACCACATTCAGGCGGCGATATGAGAACGTTCCACCACATGGAATTAGCTGATTTTTGGTACACATATGAAACAAGTAAAGCTCTATCCGATTTTCTGATGGAAATTTGCATCCAAAACTATATAACGGGAGAAAATTGCAATTTTATGGCATTTTTCTTCATAATTGTGTCTCTGCAAGTGCATTTTCATCCGAGAATATTTTTTTTTATGTTTTATGAATAAACACGATGTTTTGGAAATATTTATCAAAAGAAATTTATACTATGTTGCGAATTACAATTTCGAGATAACCTTCTTTTATTTACGAACTTATGTCTTTGATGCTGAAATTGACAACTTTATAAAAATACATTTTCACTGAAATTATGAAATCTGGGTGTCGGAAAGGTGTAAAATTATTCTTCGGAAAAGAAAAAAACAGTAGTTGAGCTAGATAAGAAATTATACGGGGGCAGGCTCCTATGGAGAATTAACATTACTGGAAACAGGCCCTTTACCACTTCGTAAATTATCGACGTTAAAATCATCACGTCGGTAAATATCAGTAAAATATACCACATTTTAAGAGCGTTTACATCAGGAAAAGCTAGGTTAATGACACGGTGATTAAATATGGAAATTTACAAAGAAAAGCGATTGTTTCAATAGGCAGAAACTTCATAGATGCATATCATTTAAATATAAACAAATTATATTTTATTTGGATAACAAATTGCTTGCATCGATGTAAACATGATATAGATAATAAAAAAGGGGGGGGGGGCATTTAAACGTTTTTGAGTGACCCTTTTCATATTCTTTCCCAGAATTCTTGTACAAATTGTTGAAATTATATCAGTTGACATTTGGGTATTTGTTTCATTTTCTGTACGGGAAGTGTAATTCTATACATATTGCCTTTTAAAATATATTTATATCATCTAACTGCCATTGTTGTTAATGTTCAAGATTTATTTGCTTTCAATTAACATTCATTGATATAAGGACAACCGAAGTGATTTTTTTTATATAGGAGGCGTTTTGTGGCAATTTGATAATCGAGACCCCGTTTCGAACCTTGGTCCAGTTTCCGACGGAAGTTGATGTAATGAATGATTATTCTGGTGGACTTTTGAATCATTGACGTCTACTACTTACCTCGTCATATAATTGAATCTATTTTTCTTTGCATTTCACCTCTTCTTGTCGAAAACGAAGCATGGAGGAGAATTCAATCAGGCTGCTCAGTGTATCAGATTCCAACAAAACTATTCCCTTACTTTTTATAACACAAAAAGTTTCTTTTGAAACTGCCAGATTCGTTAAGCCATAATTAGCAATAAGACATTGGAAATTTCTGGAAAATATAAACTTGTTGTATCCTATTGGTTTTAGGACACGATTTCTACATGTTGAGTTTTGTACAAATTAATTATTGCATAGTCGAACTCTTGGAAGCAATAATGTAATGTCAAAACGTTTTCCTTTGGTGGTATGAAGCGGTATCTACATTCGTCACTATGAATCTTTTTCATCAATACCTCGATAACAGAACGGGACGGAGAAACTATTTCAGATAAACATTTAATCTGCAATTATTATGGTACATAGTCTTGAACTCGATGGCATTCTGCACATTAGAGGTTCTTGAATGTTAGTTTTGATTTGATATCAAAAACAGGCAGCATGTCACAAATATCAGTTTGTATGTCGAGTTCACAGCTTTTCCTGGTATCAATGTTGCCACCCCATGTCACAGGTAGCAGGATACATTTATTATTGTGGTTTGTCGGTAAGATCATACTTTAAGAAGAAGTTGAGGACGACTTGCGAATAACTTGGGAAGAACTTGAAAACGGAATTTTCCATTTCCCGGCATTTGATTACGTATTTTCTCAACAACAAAAAAGCATAAAAAAAATCAACTCGCGCCAGGGTAGTATCCACACAAAAGTGATCCGCGTAAGTAAATAGTCCGTCAGAAACAAATAAATAAAAAATAACCGAAAAGATTGTGAGGATAACATAACTTTTGCGTAAATGTCGATAAGATTTTTTTAGAAATATTTTTTTTCTACATAGTTTATGGTTCGCGGTATCCTCCGTGCACATTTTCTATTTGTTTCCGTTTGTCAAAGACCGAGGTTTATAGATCGATGACCATTAAGCCTAGAATTAATTTGGAAAATACTGTGCTTAGTTAACTGTTAATAAAAAGAGAAAAATATAAGGTAGAAATATATAGATGATAAACAGTTTATCACACTGTGTTTTCAGGATTTGGATGAACGTGGATAAAATCTAGAGTCAACCGCACGACAATTCCTAAAAACACAGTGTGATAATCAATAAGTTTCCAGATACGGAAAACCTTGATCCACAGTTAGCACTAGACCAGAAATATAAGACGAAGACTGCCTCATTGTCGAATACATGAAGAATGTTGATGGGAAAAATATGAAGTATTACTACAAGAATAAGTCAATTCCTTTAATTTATTCTTCAGACATTGAACATAAGAATAAAACACCTCTCTGTTATATATTTTTCGAAGCAAATATATTAAGGAATTTTAACTAAAACGATTGTTTAGATTTTTGTTAAAGTTTTGTGTGACTCATTGGCCGTAAAGCTTAAATTAATGAATTAAATCGAAATGCCGTCATACTAACTATGCTTTTGGTGATACTTTTCTTATTTAAAGGGCCTTCTGTCTGTAACCACACAAAGACTGTATAAATATTCATTGGTACGCCTCACGTACCTTTTGTATTACCGTCTATCAATTTGAACACATTACCACTCGATTATAGTTAGACATTGACCGTACCGGCGGTTAGTATGCAAAGGAACGGCCAGTGTACAGGTGCAATACGGAACGATACTGTTATAGCTGCACATGTGTTGGCGTATATATGCGGGTTTTATGGTCCAAATACGTCGTTATACAGGTATGTATGTTTTCTGTAAGGTATCGTAGTTCTACAACTATCAAATATTTATTCTTTTTATCTTCAGCTTTTTAAATGAAAGACCAAAATACAATACATGCTCAAAGACTTACCTGGTAAAACACAAAACAAAGTGCATACATTTATTTTGCGCTAATTTTTTTTATCTTCAGCTTTTTAAATGAAAGACCTAAATACAATACATGCTCAAAGACTTACCTGGTAAAACACAAAACAAAGTGCATACATTAATGTTTGCTCTAAATCGCTAATATTTACATTTGCATGGCATTGTCACTATATAATGTTTTGGAAGCTGTGTCGTTGATGGGACTTTCAATACCATACACCACGAGACATAATTCTTAGCGTATTAATACAACACCGACCATGACTACAATATCCAATGTAAACAAACATGACGGCTGCTGAAATATCATTGGGCATTTTGAGACTTGACAATGTAATTGTAAATGTGTAAAAAAAAAACAAAAAAACCCACCCACATTTATAACCCAAAAGAAAGACCAAGGTCTGTAATATCGTACAAAATGCACATCGCCCGTTTGAAATAAACAATGGAAACAATTTTAACACTCATCCAAATTATCACAAATATCGTCTGTTACACTGCACTATTCCACATGGGTTTCGTTACAAATGTCTGAAATACACATATGCTATAGACCTACTGATATGAGTCACAGCACACATAAACATATACAAGGCATAACTGGTATGTGTACTTCAAATATTTGAAACGAACGCCTGTGCTCTGTCGCAAGATCACACGCTTCAAACGCTATCAGTATCATGCGTCTATCAGTCATGGTTTCCTTAGCTTCTGACGACATGTTAATTACGAGGCTGTTGTAGAATCTACCGACTGTAGTCAGGTTCCCATACAATCAACAAATACATTCTTTACATATTCGAACTTTTTCCTCTGTTCATTCAACTTCCATAAATAACGCCCTCGTCGAGAGCAAGGTCGGATTACGGTGTTCATTCTTCCGGGGGAAAATCAAAACAATTTCAAATCTAGCTTTCAGCTCAGATTTCTATTGATAAACTTAAATCACCATATATACGTATCATACGCAATTGTATTGATATGAATTGTGGAATAAAATTGAAGTATTTGTTCAAATTTCATAGTACTACTTTGTTTGCCAATAAGCATGCGACAACACGCTGTTTCAACTATTGAACAAATTTGTGTGGACTGTCGATAAGGTGGAAATTTTCAAATTTTAAATATAACTTGTAAGTTAAAAATATACACAAAAGGTAGAGAAAACGTAAATATAAGTATTGAACTGTTTTTGTATGGTATTTATGATCTATTTGAATGACACAGTTTTGCAAGCAAACATCATAATGCGCTAGCTTGCAAAGCTGTGTCATTCAAATATTTCATAAATACCATACAAAAACAGTTCAATGCTTAATTAATAGTGTAAATATCAAGGTTTTATTTACAGAAAAGTCTCTTGAAGTTGAAGCCCAGATTGTTTTTAACTTGTTATACTATGATTTATTTCAATTAAAATAATATTGAACGACATTTTATTTGAGGTTTTGATCGCGGCAGATATAAAGGAGAATTGATCTGTATATGATCTGGTTGTAATACCCCAAATTATAATGAAACGCCTTACACCAACATGATTCATGTTTCACATGAGCTGATAGTTTAATCTACCGATGGATAAGTTACTATACTACTTTGGTTTAGTTTAGTATTATAAACGACCTATCAACAGCTATGGTCATTTAAGTACGGCCTCCCTGTGTGCAAGATGCATGCGTGTAGTGTATGCGTGTGTGTTTTAGAAGGCTGCGATATGTTCGTGTTTGTCTCCTTGTGATAGCACGGAACTGATGCCGAATTCGTAGTGCTATCTCACTGAAACATACTTCCGAAGACACCCAGCAGGACAACCCCATCCGGTCACATTATACTGACAACGGGCGAACCAGTCGTCCCAAAACTGAATTGCTGAGCGTTAAGCAGGAGTAGAAACTAACATGTTTACAGACTCTAGTATGTCACGGCCAGGGGACAGAACCCAAAGCCTTTCTCACAGGGGCGAACGCTCAACTAAAGGCCAAATGTGAGGCATTGTCAAGGGAGACATTAGGAAGAAGAAAGTTGTTTAGAAAGAAGAGAAAAGATAAGATCCTAGATTTAGTCGCCTCTCATGCAATGGGGTGCAGCAGGTACAATTCTTACGCCCTAACTGTTGGGTTACCATACTAGTAAAGAGGTACGCGTGCTTATCTGGTGTTATTTAGTTTTTGTAGTAATTAAAACGGTATGTTCTTTACAAGGAAAACGTATAGATTATTAAGTTGGTACAGGGTTACACAAAAAGAAACCTAAACGTTTAAAAGGAATTTACGACCGATATTTAACTATGTCTAGTAACAATGGTACAAATGTAACGCCGACATTACAATCATGCATAAGAGTACACAAGTACACATTTTAAGCAAACACTTAAAATACATATTTTAGATTTCACACACAAAACAAAACACAAATGAAGGGATCTAAATATACTTCCACGTTTGAAATATGCTTTTATTACCTGATATATCTAACTATAAACGGCACAACAACAATTAAAAAACAATTACAAAAAACGACAAATCAACAATCACTGTTTTTTTGTATATATGACCACAGGGTCTAATTAATGCTGCTGTACCAATGGAAGTGATAAGATACCTATCTTATCGAGCATCCTATCAGAATGTCAGTCCCCTATGTAAGGACAGAACCCTGACCCTAAACCTAACCCTAACCCTAACTGTCTCTTTGACTTTGTCTGTTTGTTTTACCCCCAAAAACTGTCAAACTATTACCTGTTTTTGTAAAGCACGGCTCTGCCCTCAATACCATACTTTTTGTTTGTTCGCTGGGTATGGTGGGATATGAAAGATATGCAAGTCCGTCCTTTTAATTTATTTGGGATAGTTATCTTTCGTATTACTACTTTATTTGCATCCTTTTAAAGCTGTTATTTGTAAATTGTGTGGGTGTTCTGTCTTTTAAATAAGACGTGTTCCATCCTCAATATCCAGCGGTTACCCTCACTTTCGTTCTCTACACACCTGGAATATGTCATCGCAAAATTGAAGGTATGAAGTAGCTGTTTGATTGGTCTCAGGTAAAAAAAATGACCAATCGCTAGGCTGATACCTGTCCTTTGAAGATTACAAAGGAGAGACCCCCGACTTCAGAGCCTGTCAAATTCTTTTAATGTACATCAAAGGACCGAACTAGTTTTCTTGTCTCATCAACAAGGTGACGCTCACCGAGCCTTCAATTTTGCTATGACATAGTCCAGGGATGTAGAGAGCGAAAGTGAGCGTAGCCCCTGGATATCGAGGATGTGGCTGTCCTTGCTAGTTTCATAATGGTAGATTCACACAAAACGCATTCTTATTCGTTGAAGCGCAAAGACTACCTCAACGCATATTATGTCACGAACCATTTACAGTAAAACAATTGTTGTTGGAATGATTGTCTCGAACGTAAGCCAACACTAGATACTTTCTTTTTAATGAAACTCGTTTCGATGACTAGTACGGTATGTTTGTCTGTCACCTTCATCAGACAAAAAAAATGTTTTGTCGAATGAAGGTGACAGAGTACATACCGTACTAGTAGACCTTTCTCATTTTGGGGTAGACCTAGCACGGAGCGTGGAGACAAGCGAATACAGGGGTCATTTCAAAAATAATTGTATATGGAACGTAGCGTTTAGGGTATGTCAGAGTGTGTAGACGCACATGTGAGTGACTACAGGTAAGCGAACAGGTAATAAATTATGTAACCGGTAACCACAGTCGTTAAGGTATTTTTTCGTGGCTCAATGCGACTGTATGTGACCGTGGTAATTGATATTTAATGATCTTACCCGGAACGTCTGTTGTATTTTTCTGACGCCGATTGAATTAAAAGAAATTCCCCGAGCCAAAATAATCAGTTGGAAGAAGTTTGTTTTTTACCAGAGTGACAGGGATCACATTTGCAGATTAAATTTACCATCCACAAACTTCTTAGGACATAATATTTCCATATTACGAAAGAAATGTTCAACGCTTACACGGTGTCTTTTTTATAATAGCGTTAAGCTGAAGGTACTTGTTCCACACATTTTTGTCACTTCATCTCTTTGCATTTTTGTATAGAGGTGGTTGGACAAAGGGACGTTTCTTAGCATTCCGTCGTGACAGAGTGGTTTTCTGTATTGACATACATGTGTATAAATATAGGTGGTCGGGCGGTGAAGGGTGGTCTGGTGGTGCAGTGGATAGCGCAGTTGCCTTTCACCAAGGCGGCCGGGGTCCGATTCCCCGATCGGACGTAAAAAGGTTGGGGTCATCTGCCCGATCACGTGGGTTTTCTCTGGGTACTCCGGTTTCCTCCCTCACAAAATCCCCCCTACCACGCGCTAACATCCCGGCCAACAAGATATAAGTTGAAAAAAACTGTTGTTAAATAATTAAAGTTTATATTTTTTATTCTGTATTCTTGAAAAAAAACCATGAACAATATGTTCTTGTATATTCTCCTGAAAAATAACAACAGAAGAAAAGCAGTTTTCTGCTGTTCGACTGTTCTAGAGATCATTTCAGGGAGTGACTTTTCGGATTTCTATACTACTGCGATCAACACTAGCATGCACCGAGTCTTTTTTCAGTATTAACCATAATTTAAAAAATAATAATTCTGACCCCCTCCCCCTAGTAATGTGAGAACAGCCAAGAGAAGTTTATCAGTTGTACATATAATGAAAATCAGGGGATGTTACTGTAGGTAAGGAGCACTAAAAGATCGTTATCTAGTGTTTTGTCGCAAGCAGCGGACATGAATCCTTAATACAGATGAAATGAAAAATAATTTTGAGATGTTCCCTGATTTTACTACTTTCAGTGTCCGTCTCTGGCTCCGTGGTAGGTCTGCCTTAAAATGAGAAATGTCTAGTTATCGCAACGTCACATATAAACACTTATTGATTGTTATTCATGAATCTTTCCATAATCCATACTTACCAACCTGAAGAACATGCTTAGAACTATCTAACTCTAGCTATAGATGGAATGCTGTGTACTTATATTCGCTGTCATGGTCAATTTGCCCCCATTGCAGAGGACGAAAGGGCGAAAGTTAAACATGATCGACAATCTATACAGGTTTACAGCAAATTAAACGATTATTTAAAATGCAAAAAAGGAAACTTGTTTTATTTTCAAATCACCTTTATACCTGAAGGTAATTTTTTTTGCCATTCTAATGTATATCAAATATCAAACAACCATTCCGGATATATGTCAATTTTCCAATGTCTGTGTCAAAGGGGATTCCTTTATAAATTTAGAATTATTATATAATTTAAATTTCTCATTAAACTGCAGATTTACATATAAAACTTGTGTTATTTTCAAAATAAATTTTATTCCAGATGTAAGTATCCTGTTGAAACTTCAATTCAGCAAATGAAGGCAGATTGACCAGCAATGATGAAGGCAGACTGACCAGCAATGATGAAGACAGACTGACCAGCAATGATAAAGACAGACTGATCAGCAATGATAAAACCAGACTGACCAGCAATGATAAAGGCAGACTGACCAGCAATGATGAAACAGTGTGCGTTCAAGTAGATCCCCGTCCTCTCCTCCGTGTTTGAAACTGAAACGCTCTGTGTTAGTTGATGTGCAAATTGACTTGACAGTAAAATATTTGCTGAGTATCTAAATTGATGATACTCGGCAGGAAAATATAATTTAGATTCTTTGTCATATATAAAGTTAAATTCAAAAGAATTTCTTAATCATCAAGTATGATGCTCAGGGGGTATCGTTGCTGTCTAAGTGCGATTTACAGGATAGACACATGGTCAAAGCAACATCGTGCATGTCTTGCCTGCGTGTTTTTCATAATGCTTGTAGGACTTTGCTACCTTATTTTCGTTGATAAATCTGAAATACGTTTTGGGAAAGATGAAAACCCAAATATTGTATCATGGCTGCCGGGTTTGCCTGAAAGCATGTCGTTCTTAAGGCTGCATTTGGATATCCGCAGGATTGTGAACAGGAAGTTGCTGAATATGACAACGGAAGTAGACGACATAGGAGTGATCAATCCACATCCTTTCCGATATATAATTAATCCTGGTCGTTGTAAGTTCAAGAATCATGATGTTCGTCCAGTGTTAGTTATCGTAAAATCTGCAGTGCGTAATGTTTTTCTTCGACATGCTATACGGACGACTTGGGGCAATATTAGTGAAGACAATGTCAAAATAGTGTTCATGTTAGGACGTAACACCTCTAATGACCAGCAGAGAACAATCGACCTGGAGGCCGCAAAGTATAACGATATTGTCCAACAAGACTTCATAGACGCTGATTTCAATAACACGCTCAAGACCATTTTGTCATTTAAATGGGCAACTCAATACTGTGAAAATGCTCAATTTGTATTGTTTGTAGACGACGACTTTGTGATCGACTTACCAAAGATTCTGATGTATATTTATTCTATTCCAGAGGTTGATGCTGAAACACTTTTCATAGGACATCGAATAATACAACCTGTCGTGAGAGACAAGCGCTCCAAATGGGCTTTGCCTTTAGAGGTGTTTCCATACAAATATTGGCCTCCATATTTAGCAGGTGGGACGTATCTTGCAAGTATGCAGGTTGCCAAAAAATTTACCTGTGCTTTTCCGTATATACAAGTTTTAGTTAAAACTGACGGATGGTTAGGTATAGTCGCTATGAATGTCGGAATAAACCCTCAAGATAATATTTTTTTTCATAATAACGGGAGGTACGCTCATCTAGCGCTAGTTTACCAGTGCTGCCACACTCAAAAGGAAATGTTGCACTTCTGGTGGCAATATAATCAGAAAAAAAGCTTCCGATTTTGGACCCCAGGATGAACTCTAAACCTATGCCCCGTAGAACAATTTCGGTTAAAAAAACACATAGCCGCCTTTGTCCTATGATGACGACACTGCTGATGCCCTGTGTATTGTATACATTTTGCGATATTCAATTTTTCATGTAAATTTTTCTGGCGTAATCTGTACCTAAATTACTATTATTTTGCGACCAACAGTTAATTCTGCGGCGTACTCTCATAGAAATTTCTGATATTTTTTGTATATTTATTTTTAGTTTCGTTCTCTAATATTTGATTATGAAACACATAAATGTTTTGCATGGAGCTCTTGGGATACACGTTTTTGACTTTCGGCTATCTGATGAAGCGGGCAATGTGACGGAATGTTTTCAAGTAGCAATGAATATAGGCTTTCAAATCCAAAACTATATACGTCTTCAATATCAAAAAAAAATCTCAAGTTTCATAATCCAACGTACGGCGGAAAAAATATCACGTAACCGGCAGTATTATTTTGTCTATCAGGAGTACCTAGTAGATAAGTAGCAGCAGCCAACGCTTTTTACATCAGAATAATGAAATACGCTTAAGTTCGAAGTTAGAAACCTTGCAAAGACGTCATGTAAATACCACCCTTTTATTTGTTCAATTATGTGCACATTTCTTGCTTAAATGTATAAAAGTGATTGTAAGCCTTTGTTTTTTGTTTTCACAATTATAACCATTACTATTATCCATATGTTGTAAAGCGCTTTAGAGTAATTTTACAAATTATATAGGGCGCTATATAAATGTTGTATATTATTATTAAGGTAATCAAGGTTATGAATACAGGTGAGAGCTCTATTATTTGTATCAATAATTTTTTTTTAGTTAATGTTAGTTAAAGTTAATGTGTCAAGTTCATGTGTCTAACTTTTATAATATATTGACATCAGTAATACATTATGCAATGTTCACTGTAAATAGGTTACTATGTGGTAGAAAAAGTCCTCTTAAGTTGTTTTTTATTGTCTTTTTTGTTTTACTTTTCATCTATGTTTTCGTAGGCAGAATGATAATAAAGGACATCAAATGCTTGTTGATTGTCTGCGTTTTTAGAGATGAGTGAATTATATGATAATGAAAAGACATAATATCATAATTTGCATGGCTTACATATTCATTACCTCTCAAAGTATTATCATAAAGTTTGTAACGCCAAATGAATTGATACCTTACAATTACATGACATTCAATATTGTAGGACCGAAAGTAATATATATTTCTGCAATATGGCACATGAATAAAGGATATTTGTTTTGCTATGGTTGGCGTGTCGTCAATACATCGTTGACGTGACGTCATACAATTGTGCATCTGGTGGAAACTCGTTTGCTTGTGAATAGTTTTGATAGATGTTTTTTTCCGCCGCGTACTCAAATATCTTTCTATATCTGCTTGCCTTTTATTTTCTAGCGCCTGCTTGGCAATACCTCACTTTTGGCTTTAACGATGAGCGTTCGCACAGGTGAGGAAGGAAATGGGTTCCATCCCCAGGCCGGAACATGCCAAAGTCCTTAAAAACTTGTTCACCCGCTGTCAGTATAATGTGACCGGGCGGAATGCTGTGCTTGGTGCCTTTGGCATAGTATTTTAGTGAGACAGCACTATAAAGTCGGCATCAGATCCGCACTATCACAAGGAGGCTAATACACCAACATTTCGGTATACGCTTGGAATGAGTATCATATATGGTATTTGCTGTCATAATTACCTCGCAGTCACTAAGTTATCATACAAATAGAAAAAGCCGGAAGTTTAATTTTGGAGAAATTTCACGGTAGGGATCATTAAACTGATCCGTGTTTCTATCAAAAAATCTAAATAATAAGAATTATAGTTATAATAATATACAACATACGATATAGCGCCCTATCTAGCTAGAATACAGTCTCAAGCACACAAACACACATGCACGCTTTCATAACACACATGGAGGCACATCCTTAGCTGTTAATAGAACGTTAAACAAAATAAAACCAAACCAAACCTAACATTGATTGTATGGGCTAGTAAGGTCAAAGAAACGTTGGGTACATAAACATAAGCTATCCACCTTCAATAGGTCTCTGTAAACGGGTGTTTCCCTTGTCCATGTTTTTTTAATTCTAAAGATTTTAAATAAATGATATCAAATATTTTATGTCATTGTATGCTTTATCGCACATAAATGACTTCATAATAATGTGAACACATGTTTTATGAATTTTATATTTAATGTAACATTATGTTGCACTAAAGTTAAATGGTTTTATATTTATACCATGTATGATATAGATATTTTATGTTGTTTTATATTTTCCAAACGTAAATCACTTAAAGTTAAGTTTAAATGTGACAAAATATTTTGATGTAATGATATATTGTATCACATGTAAATCAGTTATAATCTTCATAATCACTGTTCATTTTCATCGATCATGTTACTTATATCTGGCCAGGAAAATGATAATCGGTAATTATACTTATGAAAATATAATGCAGATGAATATATTCTACTTTTGTATTTCTTTCAGAATTGATAATGTTTGAAGCTATAGTTTACTTAACTTACATCATAATCAGCACCGTTATCAGTTGACATTACACAATTTCACTATTCTATGGTTTGATTCCGAATAAAGACTTTGTTTTAACATATTCCACGATTCCATGTTGTTTGATGATGTTATATAGGCCGGGACTTTATTTTTAATGTGTTCGTTGGTTGCATAGCGTGAGGGGTTTGAAGACATTTAATTGAGTCGTCTCCTGTAAGGGTGAACAATTCAAAGAAATGAAAATAACATTATAAAATAATTGGACAATAATGTGGAGAGTTAGTATGATCTTATCTATGAAATGACACGATTAAGATCCAGTTTTATCATTTGAATACTGACAATACTACAGCTATACTGGAAGTTTATAGCATGTGTCTTTGACGTATATTCAATAATAAGTATCCTCTTAGTAATTAGCCAATATTAATTAGACTCGATAATTAGCTAGTTCAGAATATCAAAGTTTTGTGTATTTAGAATAGATAGAGGACAATGAAAATATCAAGTGAAACGTGTTTGATAGTTGGCAATATTTCCTAGATGATAAGACAAAACATGCTTAGCCTTTTAAAATCCGAACAGCGGCTTTCCAGATAAATGCATTGTCGCATAAAACGCAGTTGAATGTTGTGCGAAAAAGGGGGAAAAGAACTTTTCTATGAAAATCCCATGCTCGACGACTTCGAGGATCGAACCCCGGTCATCGGTGTGGAAGACCGGAGAAATCTTGCACCAAACTGTAATGAAACATCAATGATATCGCTTGTCTTCATGCAAGTCAGAATCATGAGTAGATATTGTGGTGCAACCTAACAACCACTAATCCACAAAATACTCGATAGGGACAATAGTACAGCAGTGTCGCACTCCAGCGATTTTTAGCCGATGCGCTGGTCGCTTTCAGTCGGAAGTGTATATCAAACCCGTCGAGAGCATCGTGTTTCGTCTTTGGTATCATAGATTTACGGTGTCTTTGATCCAATTTTTTTGTTGCTTTCCTATTGGTGTTTTTATTATCTAATCGAATGTATACATTGTACGGTTATTTTGGTATATTATGCTATTTGGTATTTATATGCTCAGTGACTTTCTTGACATTGGAATGAAATTTTGATGACACTCCATGCTGTGCTCACAGGCTATTCAATGTTATCTACTCGATTAGATCAGCTCAACAAGAATGGTATGTACCACCCTGTTTATATTTGTACGACTGAGAAATTTTATATATTATGTATTGTGCAGGTATTTTTGCACATTGTTGTTTTGTAAAGTATCTGCCTTACTGAATTCAGTAGCCGACTAGGAACAAACTATTAAAATGAGTTCAGAGAAAATAATATAAACATCCTTTCATTTCAAGGTCAATGGAGACAATAACGATATAATTATCAAGTAGCACAATATACAAGAAAACACTATACACATTCGAAAACATAATAAAAACATCAATAGGAAGGCACAAAACAAACATTCAAACACAAAGATAAAGTAAACTTTGACCCCGGACATGATGCCAAATCCGAAGTCAGGTGGTCTCTACGGGTTTGGTATATACTACATGCGGTACACACAGGCTAATGTTATTAGATCAACACAATCAGAAGGGTATGCACTCTGTCTATAGTTGTACGACAGAGAACATTAAATGTAGTATGTGTTGTCCCGGTATTTCTATACACTATTGATTAGCAAATTATCTGCCTTACTCAATTCAATAGCATATTTCTGACAAAACCTTTAAAGCGCTTCAGCGCTTTCAAACAAATCAGATAACTATTTAATCACATACAACAGGCATACATGTGCACTAAGGGAATGAACGGATTCATAGTCATACATTAAACATATGTTACATTAGGTCTATTTAGTTCTATTTGTTAAGCAGAGTGTATAAAATAAAGACATTTGAGTGCCTATGTGTTTTATTTTATCAGCAAACTTACTATTATGTGACATCTCCCACTGCAGACTACAACTATATCGGTAAGAATAAAATAACGTATTATTATTGGAAAAAGGAATATCTACCAAATGACACACTGTTCATTTAAATCATTCAAGGTGAAAGTCTATGGTTTCATCATCATAATCATCATAATCATTACAATAATATCATTACCATCATCAGCGTCAGCTACCACTGGGTCGTGGGTTCGAGGCCTACGTGGGGCAGTCGCCAGGTACTGATCCTAGTTCGGTGGTGTTTCCCCGGGAACTCCGGGTTTCCTCCACCACTAAAACCTGGCACGTCCTTAAAGGACCATAGTTGTTAATAGGACGTAAAACACAAACAAACCAAACCAAACCATTTATTACAATCGTCTAAACATGATCGTGACAGCAATCAATATCACCACCCCAACATTCATCATTATCATCATCATCACCATTGTATCAATAAAAATTATCATCTTATATGTACATTCAGTGCAAACACATAGACATTACTAAGAGGGAGAGAGATGGTTCATTGAGTAAGGTTTTATTGATAGCTTTTGCGAATGGTATCAATGTTGGTTTTGCATGAATAAGTATCTCTACTGATCTATTTTATCGATTTCCGGTCTAAGTAACTGATGTGGGCCATTAAAGTTACGTTGATTTTGTGTTGATAGACATGTTTAATGTTGTATCATTTTAAAACAACGTATATTTATTTACACAAAAAAAAAAATGTTTTAAGGCATTTTAGGAGGGCACGACAAACACCTCAAAGTAATGACCATTTAAAGTTATATTGCGAACTTGCATACAACAATGGTGTTTAGTAATTCAGATCTGTATAAAATCTTCTAAAATGACTTCTTATGCGTTTGTATCTGAGGACCTTCATAATAAACTTTTAAAAAAGGAAAAAACGTTGTGTAATTATTTTTTGGTTGAAATTGTATAGCCATTAAGAACGATGCCACACATTTATGCAAAAATAGCATCATTTACAAATATTTTATCAATAAAATATGTAGAGGTGGGGTCAACGTTTGGCCCCCACTTCAATTTCTTTTATGTTTTGCCATATGTAGATACATTAAATTGAAACAATAACAGCATATGTGATTATTTATTATAACTACTGATAACCGTAGTGGACCTCCTTGCATAACACCAGGTTGAGTGAAAGGAGTATCCTAACAAAATTGACACATTATTGTCGCAGTCGAATATAATTTAAAAAATGTATTATGTTAGTGTATAGTGTATAACAATACTGTTGTTTTGATACTTAATATGTCATATTGATATACATAAACATGCAATATGTTCACAAAAATATATCCAACATTGTCCACTTTATACTTCTTGAAAATCCATATGTAAATTCTTTCTACAGAACATTTTTTATGCAATATCAATACCGGTCAAGTACTTGTTAAGCATGCCAAACCTGGGCAATGCACAGTTCACAGTCATGAAGGTTTGATAATCAATGTTTGTCATGTTAAATACCGATACATTTTCTGGGGGTTTTATCATGCCGACATACTTTGTGACGTTCACAAAGCATGCTGTTTGAATGCGGGGTATCGTATGCTAATTGGGTTCTGGTGCTCAGCTATTTACAAAGTTATGTCACTTTGTTCCATTTTGGGCGATTTCTACAACCTTATGAAGATTATGAATTAAGGAAAAGGGAGACTACCCGTAAACAGATTTTGAAAATTAGGTAAAGCGAATACGGGACCAACTTAGTGCATTACTATATGGCTGGTGAGTTAAAGTTAGAAGATTTTTTTCTGAGTAATAATCTACCAACATTGCTTTTCAATGTTACAATTCATGATCAATGTTTTGATATATTCAAATTACGACATTTTGTCACCACGAGTGGTTGCTGGGTTTACGATATGTATGTCGTTGTTAAATTGCCAATGCTGTGAGTACTATTCGTTGTTAACTATATGTGATTTTTCTTTATGACAACTTCTGTGAAGATCAGGTACGGCTTATGGTCTGCATGATCAAACGCATACGTCTGTAATCTGTCAAAGTATTCGTCAACGATGGCCTGTTTCTTATCCTCGGTTCGGGAAACGGACAATCCCCCGTAAAGAACGTGATGCATCCACGGGTAGATCGAAGCGACTATTCTGCGGGAATATTCCATTTTTTCTGTATTGTCTGCAAACATGGAAAATCATGGATATCTTTCTATCGTTTGTTTTCAGAAGTACTGACCACTGACAATGATTCACTAGTGTTTACATATTACACTTTCATATTTACAGAGATGACATTAAAGAGATGATTGAAATTAAGCATTCAGCTTCTATATCTTAAAGTGTTACATATGATAGAATCAAATTCAGATAACACAGATAAATAAAAAAAATCCTATCAGGTAGATAACGTAGTTGTAAATTTTCCTTTTTCAAGCAAAGAGTATAAATGACTGGTGTCTCGACTCTAAATCCATGAAAAAAACCTCTTACACTCTTTTCTTGGATAAAGAAACAGACGTTTTCGAAAGCTTGCAATTCCTGTTTGTGTTCAAAACAAACCTAGCCTATATTTAGTATCTGCTCATGCATTTCTTAATATTTCCTTAACCCTTCCTACCATTTTGTGTGTCAATACCCTGGCATTTTAGACACCTTGCCCATCCTGAATATACCTCACCTTTGTTGACAATATCAAACGTTGGGTGTTGCAGATAGTGTTTTATTGATTTCACAGACACCAGTTCCAATCTAAGTTCCCTTACTTCCGGTAGGGCACTGGTAAACGGTTCCTTGAATTCAGCAGGCGTTCTCATATAGCTGCTATTGAAGTTAGTTGCAAGGTACTCCTCCTGTAAATATATATTTTTTTCCGCAAATCGTTAGCAATTCATATAATTAGTTCAATAAATAATTTTGGGAAGCTACGAGTTATTTAGCTGGTATATTGTGAACATATAAAATAATCAGCAGAAATAAGAAAAGTAAGAAATGTCAGCGGTATGAGGTCAAATACAGCTAAACCAAGTATGCCATAAAACTCATTGATTACAGATTTAGAACGTTAGACTACATCAGATAATAATGTCTTCCCATCGAATATTTTAAAGCTGGTTATTCTCCAGGTTTTTCCAATATTTTTTTGTCTTTTTTTTAACTTTTAAACCGTTAAAGACATTGAAGGCAAAGTTTGTGTTCAAAACATTCAGGCAGAATGTTACTGGTATCTTGATGAAATTTGCAGTGTTAAACCCACAACGTGCAGTGTAACATGTAATAAACTTACTTATATTAAAGACCTTGTTTTAAACAGAAACAATGAACAACTATTGGCAGCTATCTTTCCGCAAATCGTGAGCAATTCCATGACAAAATAACACTATAAACACTGTGAAAGCTAGAACAAAAACCACAAAGCAGCATCATTATTAGTACCGACATTTACTACTACTTGTGAGTACTTTGACTATCTCTATATAGATGATGTAAGACAATAATATTAAACATCAGTTAATGCATCCATATGATTAGATAAGCTACATACTTTCGTGATTACACGTTCTTTTGCCATATCGGACACAAAGCTCCCCAAGCGGAGGGCCCCCTTTTCTACAAGCATCGGCTCATCGCCACTATCGTCTGAAGATATGTTCATTGTAACAAGAAAACCCCCTGAAAGAGCAATACATCAAAAAAATAGTAACGGCTATTTAAGCATTTACTGACAAAGATGCCAAGTCAGGCATTGTGAATGTACTATTGGCCAAGCGTACGCTTAGTTTCTTATGATACGTTCATATAACTGCCATTTGAAAGTTAATAGTTTAAGCAAAAGCAAAATGCAATATGAAAAAATATGCTGGTGTTAGTTCAATAAGAAGGTAACTAAAAAATTACAAATATCATAATAAAGATAGTATCATTCGTGCCAGATAAATTGCAGCTATCATGTAACCGTAGAGTGCACCAGCAGAATCAACCAACCTCTGATATATATACCCATGATGGAAATTCCTATAATAATAATTATTACAATAATTACAATAAGTTTATATAATAATCCTAATTATTTTGTAAATGACCCTAGCGACTAAACAACGACTGTTCTGAGTACATCTTGACTAAATTAGATGAACAGACCACATGGGCTTTGTGAACAATGCTTACTTGCCGAAATAAACGCAATTTAAATTCCAATTTAATCCGCCTTGCTACTTCCAGTCGCCATTTTGTAAACAGGACCTAATCTCGAGCTGATGCGCGTTTGAAAGAGTTTAAAGTATTGCAAAGCTTCTAAACGATCGTGCCCAGAACATACTCTCTAAGGATGATGTTTTTGATAAATTTACTATCAGTTATTTACTATATTTCTTTTCTGTATCACTTTCATTAATTCATAAAAGAACAAATTTATTTTTTCCCCTTCAATTTTTTTTCTTTCAAATGTTAAAACACATTTTTTTGGAAAAAATGTTCTAGTTTCCAGATTATGATCAAACGTCGTCTGCTTCGCAAACATTCAAGAAAATAATATTTACAATGTATTGATATTTGTTTTATTAACTAGTTTATTCTTTAAACTATCTTTTATTAATAAATATCAAAAAGATTTTGCATTTTATGACGTAACCGGAAGCGCACTTGATACGAGAACGTGACCCGGAAATAGCTCACAACATAATCAGGACAGTAATAATAAACAGACGTTTATCGAACATTAACAGATTAATACCGTATGTATTGAGACACTGATGTGCTAGAATCCAACACAAGGTAACACTCGTTTAATCCATTGCTATCACATCAAGTACTAACTGACATTTATGCGGAAATATCAGCATTAAATGTTTGCGATCGCGCAGACCTACTTTCGTTTTACAGTTTACATACATTTGCACATGTCGGCATCAACAGTATACCTTAAGTTAACTTATGTCCTTCATCGTGCCGAAGATTATACATAGGCGCATTCGAGGAAAAGTTCGTGATTAAAAGCTTGTGTGTGTGGGTTTTTTTTATCTTAAAATTATCGGATAAAAGCATAGTGGCATGTTACTTCAAAATAAAATATACAAGAATCATTATTTTACGTTAAATATATGTCATAGTTAACATAAGCTCTCAGGAGCTTGAAACATTGTTACAGTGTAAGGCAAACAACAAATTTTATCACAAGATACCTACGTTTGATGGATTAAGATAAAGAGGCTAAATAATCATACTGTACAAAATTTGGCACTAAAACAACTTACTTAAAAGCCAGTCCAGAGGGCAGGTGATTGGGACATAGCATTTATTTGTAACCAGGAGCAAGGGTTTGGTAGCCGTTAATATTAAAAGACGTTTTAAGTATTGATGCTGCTCGGATTGACGCCAGTGATGTATTTATCGCTTACAGGTTAAAGCGTTGTTATCCAAAAAGAAGAATAGTACAAATTGAAAAGTGTGAATTGCCTACAGCTCCTGTCAAAAGTCAAAAACATTTCTCTCGTGTTCTTTCTCGTCACCTGGACGTTTGTAAGTTAGAACAGCTGGTCTCGCAGACGCTTAAACTATGTACACAATATATATTCAGTTATACCACAGTATTGTATTGTCTCGGTATGGCTACGAATGCGTTCCAGGTCAGGTAATAGAGCATCAAATGTATTAAATTCAAATAAAGCACCACTTCACGACAATCATGGATTCATATGGGTACAATGTTATTAAAATAACATTCATACAGTGCATGCAAGCTGAAATTAGCAAATCATTTGTTTAAAATAACAAGTCATCATTTCCATGAAATTATCCAAATAAATAAGATCTTTATGTCAAAATAAACTTCAGGTTTGATTTAGTATTGTTTAATGTACGTCCTATCAACAGCTATACATGGTCATTTAAGGATGGCCTCCCCCATTTGCTAGATGCATGCGTGTGGTGAGTTTGTGCATATTTAATTTGTGTTTTTGGAGTCTATGGTATGTTCATGTTTGTCTCCTTGTGATAGCGCAGGACCGATGCTGACTTTATAGTGTAATTTCACTGGAGCATACTGCTGAAGACACATCTTATTTCACAAACTTACCTCGTTATCTCACCATCTCATAATTTAAATTTGTACTATTCAACCTTGGCAGATTTAGCCTTGTGTTTAATTTCCCTCCCCTGACACCTTGCATAGACACTTTACTAGCAAAACTTTAAACTTTCAAGATTATTTCAGCACTGGTCGCCTATGTATTTCCCTTGGTTATCATTTACAGTTAGAATATGGTCAATTATCACTACCAACTGAACATATACAGAAAATGTTTTTTTAAGTATTGTCCTCCATTGTTTTTTTTACATAAATCATGACATATAGTCGACAAGGCAACTTGGTACTGGGCGCCGCCATTATTATTTACATGCACAGGAACTTGGTATTAGTTTCTAATAAATGTGTTTTAGATAATGTATGATATAAAAAATGGGGACCATAGGATGGTAATTTGTCCCTGTGCCAGGTTCAATAATTTGAAAGCTTAGAGAACAAGGCTGAAAACATGTATGGAATGTGTTTTTTT